ATATGTTACATTGTGAGATGTTAATTGCAGAGTTATTGCTTAATATTTCCTTGAACAAAGAAGTTAATTGGATTGTAATTTGTCCATGAATTTTCCTCAAATGAAGTGGTTAATTCACAAGTAATGTTGAACTACAGTCTAACAGCAAGGCATAGATCAATTGCTCAGTAAAAAAACGACTTTGTTGGTCATACTTTTAGTTTCAGAAATTTCCAGGTAGAACTCTCAGAGAGTGTTTGGAATGTAGACCCAGTAAAGATTAAAGTTAATGATTAACTCTGCATTCTTTGGCTCCTGGTATTGGTTTGGTAACTGAGTTCAGGCTTTGTAAAAGTGGTCCTTCCTGCAGAACAGGTATGATTGCCACCAAAGACAGGATTTTGAACATATATCCCATCCTGTCTGGTTGAAATTGCAACTGAAGTAAATAGAAGCCTATGTTGTTACTGTGTGGAAAATAACATGATTGCAGTTATGAGTCAGACTGTCTTAATCTCTACAGATCTCTTTAAAAAATAGGCTATAAAATCATATGTTTTTTTTTCCAAGTTATCAGGTGCTAAGGAAATGCATGGGAGTTGATTTGCCTTATACATATTTCATTTCTATGGGTAAAGCTTGGTGTATGAGAAAGTATTTGGGGCATATCCCTCTGAAACAAAAGATTACTTTAGAACCGAAAGATTACTTTTTTCAGAAGTATCATTTCTTCTTAAATAATAAATGAAACAAAACAAGACCTAGTAAATGGGAAGTCTTTGTAAAGCATTGCACAACAATTTGAAAAAGGAACATATCCTGAGCAGGGTGTAATGACCTAAGCCCATGACCAATCTGCTGGTGTCCACATTTGGTGTGTGCTGGATAACTAGATAGTTGCCTCTCTGAATTCTAACTGATGAGTTACAGTTTGTGGACAAGACACTTTATCTTATTGATACACTTGGATATGATGCAGGTCCATTATTCAGATAAAAAATAACGAATCTGTCGGCCAAGGTCTCTTTAATAACCAAAACATCCAATGAACAAAGGTCTATGCTCTTGTGATTCCAAAGATCTTGCAGGGAAGAGAAAAGATATCACTTTTGGCTCATTTGTGGTTATTTGAACTTTCTCCCGAGCTTGTGACAGCAAATAGCAATCTACTTTCATTTTGTTTGTTCAAATTTGACAGATAAGATAAGAAGGATACAAAATAAGATCTAAGTAACCTCCTCATGAGTTTCTGTGTTATGCACTTCCTATGAGAACATAAGGTTACAAATAACAATTTGTAAGTCCGTGCAGGCCACCTAACTCATTTAGTTGTGCAGGGGCTAGTTGATCCAGGAAAGCTATCCTGCTCTTTCTTGAAGAAAGCCAGGTTTTCTTGGCTAGAACGATAGCTCCAGACACCCATGACCCATTGCTTAAAGAAGGGCCTTCTATTCCACTTTGATAACTTTAATTGTATTCAAAATTAGTGAGGATTAATCACAGTGTGCGAAGACAGGTAAAAGTTGAATCTGTTTGGAATAACAAAGATAGCATTTTTTAATTATACATAATCGAAGGAAATTACTCAGATTAACAGTACTGTATAATTTACTGTAATCCTGCAATGTAACGAATTTTAATTTAGAAAAATAAGCGTTCATGATTTATTGCGAAAGTGTCGGTATGATGTTTTTTTACTTGAGATAAGTTTTCAGAGTGCGTTGTCAGTGACTCACAACAATTCCGTCAATGGATTTATGTCTAGTTTTAGCGTTTTGTACGAAAAAAAGTTGCAGCTCAAATTGTGGTTTTGGAGTTTTGTTAGACACGTTTCCAGTTTCATATCAAACTAGGTCTATTTCTTGCAATAAAAAAAAGAAAACATGTTTTTCAAAACTCAGTAAAACGCAGAAAGTGGGCTGCATGAGTCATATAACGATTCACATCTCAATCAGTTTTTTTCACAAACTAGTGAAACAAAAATATGTCATAGGGGATGATTACCTCACAATGCTATACCTTAGTCCTGTCTGCTACATCACAGTAGCAACATGCTTCGTCGCTGAACACGTTTTAACTTTTGCACGGTAACACGTTTTTAAAATGAAGTTGGAAACGTACTTTTTTTAGGTTAGAAAAACCAACAACAGCCTGTCTGCAGCTCTCAGACGTTTACGATGTGTGTTATTTGCCTTACATTCTCTTAACCCCCGAGGATCATGACTGAGTGTACGGAGAAAAGTAAGGTACGAGAATTACAATTGTGGATCTCTGTTGCTTTAAGGAAAGAGGTCTGCGGGTTTTAGGGATGATGTCATGTTATACCCGTTGGAATCGGGCCCTGTGGGACACTCCGCCTTGTAGGAGGAGCCGCTCGCAAAAGTAGACGAATTAGTTTCACAGGTAGAGTTTAACTTTCAAAACAAATACTCGGGAGTCCGTAGAGCACCTGTTAGAAGAACCACGGAGAGTCAGTTGGTGAATTGTACTTGCATGTAAGAGCTGTTTAAATGTGATTGATGGTTATGCCCTCTGTTGAGGAAAATGCACTGGGAAAAACTGCTCCATTTAACAAATGGAAAGGTAAGGTAGACCTTAAAACATGAACTTAAGTTCTTGCTTTTGCTGTTTTTATTTTAGGAGTAATGTTGCTGTGTAAATGAAGGACACTTCGTCCGGCTTCGTACGTGATTTAGTTTTTCTAATAGGAGGCGAGCGCGTTGATGTCCTGCGTGTTGTTAGTACATTACTCGCTGTCCCGAAAGTAATGTATTTTTATTTTTATTTACTGTGACAAAAGCAACTACGCAAAAAATAATGAATGTGTTTAACCTTCGGAGGTGATATCGATTTTATTTCACCTATTTCATTTACAGAAACTGGTGTACGTTTTGTTTTTCGCTATCGTGTGTGTCGCTTTACAGTATGTTTGATAGGCATAGCAATAAGAACACCATCCTACTACACCTGAAACTCTACATTCTTAAAATAAATTGTGTTAAGCTGCAGTTTTTCTTCTGTTTTTATTATTTTTTCCCTACATATCAACAAGTTTACCGACTGTCCCGGTGCACATTAGCCGAGACAGTGGCCGCCGATGAGTGACGTTTCCCCATAAATTCAGAATATCTAAAGGTCTTTTAAGTTTAAGACTAGACCTGTCCAAGCCCGGTGAATTTTTTAAAAGCTTACACTGCTGGCGACAGTGGCACAATATTTTGACGTATCTGAAAGGTGTATTGCGATTAGAGTTCCGAAGCTCTGAGCTACGAGGGTTGCTGTTATTGATGTCTGTACCTCTCACTACATGAGACATATTGAACTTTCCAGACTGCCGCTGTTCGGAATGAATGATGTGCAGTTCTATAGCGGTGCCATTGTTTCTGCTTCTTCGTGTTCTTTTCTTTGTTTTAAACGAATGCTGACTGCTACTAAATCTGCAATAGGCCAGTGATGTATTTTCATGTTTCTGTGGATGTCAGGAGTCGATTACAGTAAATACTACAGACTGCAATGGGTTCTTTTGGTGTCGGTTTTCATATACTGTATATTTACTTTTACATTCCTTGTTGGATATACTGACCTTCAATGGGGATGGGAACGGTAAGCTGCTCTACAGAAAAGGTTTTTTTTAAACAGTCTGTTGCTTTTATTTGGTATTGTGTCCTTTTTGCTCTTAAAATTGTGTTTTTGTGCTATTTCAGATGAGTGCAGTGTGTTTAAGATACCGATTTGTTTCCCTTCTTTCAGTTATTCTCAAACAATGGGAGGTATATCAAAACAATCTTCCAGTTTAGCTCCAAAAGGGTAGGAAGATTAAATAAAGTTCTCTTTTAATAGATTGTTGTTGTTTAACATTTGAATTTACACACAGGGGCAAAATAAACTCTACTTTAGCAACAACTGGAAAACAGAAACACTTGTTCCTCTGGGGTTTTCTGAAAAACTGAAGAGAGCCAGTTACTATAACCTCATGGTTGTTGAATTGACTGGCCAAAATGTCTTGTTGATTTGGAGTTAACTCTCGCCCTCTTTCTGTGTTCTGTAGATCGAGCGACTGGAGGTGAGCAGCCTAGCGCAGGCATCCAATGCTGTGGCCTGCTCTGATGGCTCTTTCGCCGTGGACGCGGTGGACAGCACCCCTGACCCCCAGCGCACCAAGCAGGCCATCACGCAGCTGCAGCAGAAGATCCTGAAGCTGACGGAGCAGATCAAGATCGAGCAGACGGCGCGCGACGACAACGTGGCGGAGTACCTGAAGCTGGCCAACAACGCCGACAAGCAGCAGAGCGCCCGCATCAAGCAGGTCTTCGAGAAGAAAAACCAGAAGTCGGCCCAGACCATCCAGCAGCTGCAGCGCAAGCTCGAGCACTACCACCGCAAGCTGCGAGAGATCGAGCACAACGGCATCCCCAGGCAGCCCAAGGACGTCTTACGGGACATGCACCAGGGCCTGAAGGACGTTGGGGCCAAGGTGACGGGCTTTAGCGAGGGGGTGGTGGACAGTGTGAAGGGAGGCCTGTCCAGCTTCTCACAGGCCACCCACTCCGCGGCTGGGGCCGTGGTCTCCAAGCCTCGGGAAATCGCCTCGCTTATCCGCAACAAGTTTGGCAGCGCGGACAACATCTCGGGCCTCAAGGACTCCCTAGATGAGTCCCAGGGAGAGGACGGGACCAAGCCTTTGGGGGTGTGCAGCCAGCTGCAGTCCAGCCCTAAGTTCGGCAGCGAGGATGACTGTTCCAGCGCCACCTCGGGCTCAGCAGGGGCCAACAGCTTTACCGGGGCGCCCGGTGGCCCCCCCAGCTCCAAAACAAACACACTGGACATGCAGAGCTCAGGGTTCGACGTCCTCTTCCATGAGATCCAAGAGATACGAGACATGCAGGGCCGACTGGAGGAGTCCTTTGATGTCCTCAAAACTCACTACCAGAGAGACTACACAGTAATAATGCAAGCACTACAAGATGAGCGGTACAGGTATGGAGCAACCTTTGTTTTTTTTAAATCACATTGAGTATTTGAGCTGATGAGGGAGGGGGCATTATTGCTCTCATCATATATGTATGTCCTACCTGTTTTCTTGTTTTAATTCCAAAGTGCAGATGACTCGATTGTTAAATTTTAGGTTTTACATTTTAAATAATTTAAGAAGTCATCCTTTAATGGAACATTGCAGTGTACATATGGAAATGTATTTGTTTCCTTCTTTTTCCCTGGGAGGGCTGTTAGGTGTCTTTGGTAGTCTGAGCTGCAGAGTCAATATTCAAAGCACTGTCCTGCACCAAGTAATAAGTAGTTTATGTTGTGAAAGGCAATATTTACTACTGATACTAATGTAGCACATATTGCTAAGTTTCAGGAAGTGCACTGTCCCTTTTACTGACCAAAAGCTTAAAGGATGGATGGGTACTTTAGCCTGGTCAGTTCCCAAATAATGTTTGTAAAAGCTCCTCATTTTCCTTTTTTAAAATGTTGATGTCATGATTTTTTTTTCAAAACAGTGAGCACTGGTTCTTGAATATTATTCTGTGTTCCAAAATCACCTACCAAGAAATTAAAAGTTCTTCATGTGTAGTAATGCTTCACAAAGGAAAGAAAATCTGTCTGCCACTTCCCGAATGAATAATCTGTTCATTTATTTTTAATCTATACTAAACTGGCATGCTTTTGGAGATTAGGTGACATGACCCTTTTTAAAGGGCTGTCTTGCTACTTACCCTTACACTAGTCCATCAGAAATGTGGTGTTTTTTAAACCTGAGCTGAAGCAGGTTATTGGCAAGCATTTTGTTTTGTATTCAGGTTGAGAAATAGCAGTTTAAAAATAGGTTCATAATATGATGCCAAACTGGCTAACCTAACTTCACAGGGGGAAGTTAAAGAGGTTTTACCAGAAGCAATGTCTTGCTGATTAATTAGCAGCATATTTCCAGGAGCTTCAGATCCTATCTCTGTGTGGAAAAGCATGACAATATTAGTTTCAGGAGAGTTTAGAAATGAGAGTTATTTTCAATCAACATTTGTCTGCAACTGGAATCATTTTCATTGTGTGAGCGCAAAGCCGTTTACAGGCAGAAAAAGAACGAGTAACAACATCTCACATTTACACAAAGCTTTTCATTACAGTATAACTGTAGATGATAAAAGGGTTGTACAGTAGTGCTTCTACTGAAGCCACAGTTGTCCCCTGAGCACAGAGCATTGTAAATTAATTAGCACCAGCGGAGTCAGCCTGTTGGATCTTCTGCTTAACATAGTTTTTACAAATGAGCCTTTTCTCCTTTTGCCAGCTGTATTGCAGTTGTCATTCAGAGAACACAATTTTGATACCAGGTTTAGTAATAGCATCTGACAGGGCAGAGTCGACTTTCTTAGGGAATTGCCAGTATCAGTGGCACCTACAGAGAGAGATGAAAGTGCTCAGAGCAGCCAAAACTCAAGAACATGTCTTTAATTTAGGTAAGTTATACACACGCGGAAAGCTTAGCTTTTCAGTTCCTTGAAAAACAACTACAACTTTGTAAATCTAACTCCATATTTTTAGAAATGCAAACTTATATAGCATCACATCTGCAATATTGGGCATCAGTAGTTTTGTAAACAAAAACAAAATCCTTATTTAGTAAACGTGTTGAAATGTTAAATTCAGAATAAAGAAATATTCAGTTTCTTATTTCAATGTGTAAGTGACTATTGAAGAGATAACTGATATAAATATGTATTTGCTTCCGTCACGCATATCTGAGACTATAGCATAATCCTAGAAATTAATGCATTTCCTACATACCTACTGTACTTACAATATGGCCAGTCCACTTCTCCAAACTTGGCTGCAACATCTATCCTGCTGGAGGGGAGTGTCCTTTGGCTAGTTGTAAAGTATTACCTCATTCAACAACACAGGATCCTTTGTCACAGCTTCAGAGCTCAGACCTACCTGTGAATTACCAGCCAACAAAGAACTGTTCTTCTTGATGACAGAGCATTCACATTGACCCTCAGAAGTGATAGGGTCATGTTGTTCAATCTGAAAAATAAACATTAACATGTTGACTCTAATTAACTTTCTGTAGAGCAATGTATTTAACCTGTATACAAAGTTTATTTGTACAAGAGTAAATGAAAGTTTCTCAACTGCCATAGTTTTTTATTTAGCTTTTGGAAGCATTAATTATACATTTAATGAATTTAAAGACTTTTTCTCTGCACGGAGAGAAAGTAGTATAAGATAATTATATACATACTGATATTTGAAAACATGAGTTGGACCTCTTTTTGCTTTATTTAAACATGTTAAGCAATATGTTAATTTATAAATGATCAAACTGATAACCTTTACTTTTTCCATCTTAAATTTAATGATGTTTTTTTATATTTAGTAAGCATGGAAAAATAATCTAGAACTGAGTATTAAGTATAATGTATGTATAAATTAAAAGGTAGGACAGAAACAAGTAGTTTAACTGTTAAAGGACCTGCCCTAAATAATCTTCTTGAGGAAGATGTGTTAGTAGGTTTCTCCACGTTTCGGTACATCAAATGCTTCCATTACAAAGTAGTTTATGCCTCTACAGTATGTGGAGCCTCTGAGATGAAACCACCTGAGGGGTTTGGATAAGGTTGCGTTTCATTGCTGTTGTTGTTACCAATGCCAAGTTTCTTCAGCAGTCAAGCTTAATATAAACGTTACGATAAGTAATATGAACCACAGACTCAGCTCTCTGTTACTCTTGAATGGCAAGCAACTCCGTTATGCCCTCTTCAGGCCTTTCATAGCCTTGCTGGAGACTCTTTTGAAACAGCCATGTAAACAATATCATCTGGTATCCGTTATTGGCCAGTTTGGCTCTTCCTCTGATTGCCTTTATTTGAGCTGTCCTTGAAACAAGCCTTCTTAGTGTTGACGTTTGTTTTTATCTGTGATCACATTTACTTTTGGTCCTATGAGAAGGGGAATTTCATGTTTTGAAGCTGGTTTCAGGAACAGCTGCTGTCTTCAGGCTATGAAAGTCCCTTTGAAAGTGCTGAAACCTACTGAAATATATTTTGATGTGGTGGTTCAGAATAGTATTGACTAGGATGTAGCATGACATGGAAAGTACAATTACAAGAAGGGCTGTTGGTGAAGGATGACCTCATTTCTGCTTGTAGACTTGTTTCACGTTGTCTAATTGCATGATGTTTCTCTAGTTCATCCTGGTTAGCCTCAGAAAATACTACATTTAGATCTAAGTGTTCTTAAAATATTTTCTAATGTTATCTGCAGTTTGTTCAGTGTGTTTTGTGTATTACACACTTAAATATTTTCCATTATAAAAGATCAGTCTAAAGTAGTCTTTGTCTGAGGGAATTTGACTTGTTCCTGTAATTTTATTTGTTTGGGGAAAACCTATAATCAAAAAGGCTGGATAGTGTTGTTTGAGAAATTTAAGTGACATTTGCTTCTTTCCTTAGAAGCACAGAATTAATTCAGAGGGTCTGGTGTGCTTTAGGCTGGACAGGACATTTCAGAGAAGTTTTCTTGTATATAATATCAGTGAATGCCTTGATTTATGGGAACCTTTTTTTCTGACATCCTTTCTATTTGTGTTCAAGGCCCTTTCCTCCAGCTTCTAGATTCCCTTCTGTTACAAAATGTCATTAAGAAGTACACATTTCTGCTGAAGGCAGAAAAAGGTTGAAATTAATTTTGCATTGGGTTTCTTTGGCTACCTGTGGTGCAGAAGTAGTTCAGATACGTTGACATTTCCAAAAGCAAAGTTAAAAACTCTCCACACACAGACGAGGTCTCTCCTGCTAAACACAGATACTTTTTGCCTTGGTACATTGTTTGCTTTGAGAACAGAGGCTAACAGATGAGAACACACACAGGCCAGTAATGCAGGTGTCCTTGAAAACTTTTGGCGTTAATACTGTATTTTAGATCCTCTCCTGTTAAGATGTATGCTGTCGTGGCCAAAAACTTTCAAATTGTAAAAAAAAATATTGCAAAACATAACCAATGAATAACTTTCATTTTTTGAAAGTGAAACACAGTAGTTCATCTTTAATGAACATGAAAGGAGCCATTGTTTCTGAAAACAGAAGGGAGAGAAATTTGATTGGAAGTACGATCCCAAACAGGAAAGAAGACAGTTTCTCCGTACATTCCAGCAGTTTTAACTTATGCTTATGCCTCATAAGTATCGTTGCCTGGTTTAGATCTTTCACAATCATGCATTCATTCTTTGTGCTGGTGCTCCCTGTCATACCCCTAGAGGGCAGGGAGTTCTTCCTTAGGCTGTGTCACCTGTATCTCTGCCTGCTGGGCTAACAGGTTTAGAAGGGTGCAGCAGGAAATGACCATTTATGGAAAGCTCTCTGTGATTAGTCAGGGCTGGAGAGCAGGCAGGACGGAGGAGGTCTGTAAATGATGAGGTAGGGGATTTACAGTAACACCTGTGTCATCGAGTACTTGGCAGTATCACCAGGTTATTTTCCAGGTTTTCTTTATCAGTAGTTCTTCTGTGCCTTTATTCCTTCGTGACCAACTGATAAAACCCTATAGGTTATTTTATAATGGACAGTTTTCTCATTCCAAACTGCTTTGCACATACTGTAAAGTTTAGAAGAAATCCATGGTGCAGTTTTCTATATTCATGAATCACTTTTAGTTGCATTGTCAAAACCTGGCTCCCAAAATCCGTCGCAAAAGCTGAGTTATGGACGAAGTGTTATGAAAAGTCTGTTTATCTCCAGTTATGGATTATATGTGCATTTTAGGAGCAACAGTAAAATTTTTGTGAAAAACATCTTCTATATGAAATAAATTAAATAGTAGTAAACTAAATTTTAAAAATGTAAAGGATAAGACACTCATGGAAACTGAATCTAGTTTTTACATCTTAAACTCTGTCCTTAGGTTTATGGATAAACTATTTTGTCTAGTCTTCCATACCTTTGAGTAGAATAGAGTCCTGGAGAGGTCTGGGGTATGTACAGTACATTTAGTTAAGATGAGACTGGAGACAGGGAGGTGAGATTAAGAAATTGAATAGACACTAGAACATTGTCATTGTTACAAAGAAACAGCCTGTGCTTTGATTTTCACCTCAATGACGTGCGATCTGGTGATTGATGTTTCAGTATCTTTTATACTTTGTAGGTTAATATTACTTGTTTGTATGAAGTTGTACAACAAGATCCAGTTGATATTTTAGTGAAAAGAACAACTGTAACAATCATGTAAGATGAGCCAAAGGATTCTGTTACTTTCACCATATCTTTGGTAAATTCCACCTCACTGAGCTCATGTGTCCTGTTAAGGGTATATTCTTATGGTGTGGGGGAGGGGGTAGTTTAAAAGTACAAAGTCACTAGTCAGCGTTGCTATCAGTTTTGATGCCTAATAAAAGTTATGCCTTTTATTGTCATCTCCTAGATCGGAGATTAAGTATATTAGCAAAGCAGTAAATCTGACTTGAGTATCTCCTAACCCTGTTGTAGATAGGAGTCTACTGTTAAAGTAATAACAGTCCAAAATGTACCTGTCAGACAGTATCAGCATGTCAATGCAGATAGACGGTAACTTCAGAAAAATCCCATGTTCTGCTAAGTGTCACTGCCTTAGAGCACCCTCTAGTGGCCAGTCTGTGTCCTACACTGGCTCCTACAGCTCTATTTGGAGATGTGGAAAATATAAAAATAAACTTTATTTTATATAGTGCCTTTAAAGGTGGGTTCTCAAATTGCCTTGCAGAACAACAACAAAAATAAACAAATACAGAAGATATAAAAATGAGAGGAGACAATAGATGGGAGCTCTGAATACAGTAGGATCAAAAGGGTACATTTTTGCTGCTGGAAGAGGTGTTAGTGGGGCCAGCATTAACCCTGTGGTCCATGTGGGTCCTAATGCCCCAGTATAGTGACGGGGATGAGACGTAAAACCGAGGTCCTGACTCTCTGTGGTCATTAAAAATCCCAGGGCGTTTCTCGAAAAGACTAGGGGTGTCCTGGCCAAATTCCCCATTGGCCCTTACCAGTCATGGCCTCCTAATAATCCCCATCTATGAATTGGCTTCATTACTCTGCTCTCCTCCCCACTGATAGCTGGTGTGTGGTGAGTGTTCTGGCGCACTATGGCTGCTGTCGCATCATGCAGGTGGATGCTGCACATTGGTGTTGGTGGAGGGGAGTCCCCATTACCTGTAAAGCGCTTTGAGTGGAGTGTCCAGAAAAGCGCTATTTAAGTGTAAGCAATTATTATTATTATAATAATTATTATTATTAAATAGCAGAACCCGTTAAGTAAAGGCCCTTCTAAAGAACAAGGTTATGAGTCTAGATTTCAAGGAGTGTAGGGTAGGTGACTCTCTGATATCCTTAGGGATAGAGTTCCAGAGCTTTGGTGCATAACAGGATGAAAGCCCTGTCACCCATTAGGACCTGAACATGGACAGTATTCAGGTTCTGATGGGAGACCACATTGCCAGTTATGCTCTTGGCTGCCCCAGTGCGAAACTGCAATGACCCGCGGGTCTCTGTGTCTCCGTCTGTGGCGCAGGTGTGAGCGGCTGGAAGATCAGCTGAACGACCTGACCGAGCTCCATCAGAACGAAATCCTCAACCTCAAGCAGGAGCTGGCCAGCATGGAGGAGAAGATTGCCTACCAGTCCTACGAACGCGCGCGAGACATTCAGGTCAGTGCTGAGCCAGCCAGACGAGGCCTGGCCGGTACAGAGGCTCCCCCCTTCTCAAAGCTGGGTCGTTAAATACAGTCTCACCATAGCCGTGCACCAAGATCGCTTAATGTGTGCCTTTTCACTGGAAGAAGAATGTGTCCAGGCACTAGCCATTTAAAATTCCCCTACGTCGTTGTTCCCGCTAATGGTACTATACTGCTATGTCAGAAATCATTTAATGGCTTTTAATAGGAACTACTAAATGATACATCATCCAGGGTAACATTTCATCAGGGTTATGTTCAATAAGCAGAGTGCTCTGACAGAATGAATCAACTTTATTAAACAGCCTTAGGACAGAACATTTTCAGATAGTGATGAAGACGACAGCCCAGTTTTTGGAAGATTGTCTAGAAATGAAGGTGCAGATCTGATGGCTTAAGTGGTAATATTTTTATTTTAAATGGTTATGTGGACCACAAGGAAGTAAAGGACATTTTAAGGCTTGATTATTTAGGGTGGGTTAGACCCAATACCCCTCTTCTCTCACTGGCACACCCAGCAAAGCAACTCCTCAGACCATGGCCACGTCTTGTGTATTTGCGTATCATTAACTAGGTTGTTTGTGTAGCTTGATTTGGACACCATTAAACATCCTGCATAGTATTATTCTATTACCTCATGAGAGATTGTCAATAAGCTTCACTTCGACAAAATCAATTTGGATTGAAAGCTTTCAGGGAGGTTAATCTAATATTCAAGTTTTTTAGTCTGAAATCCCTTATTGTTCAGTTCCCTGTACTTTCTTTACTTGGTTGTTGTATGCTGGATTCCCTTTATTTAGCTTTTGAACTATTAGTGTAGTTTCTGTGCACTGAAACTTGGAATTAAATTGAACCCCTTCACTGTGTTAGTAAATGCAAACAGCACCTTTTAATTCATTATTTGATTCATTTGTTGGTATTGCATCTTTTTGTATGGAAGCCTGGGTGTGTTAATTAAAAGCGCTGATATAAGTGCATGTTCAGGCTTCTGCAGCTGCCTGAGACAGCTGGCATATTGTCGCTGCAGAAGGGTTTTGCAAATATACTTCAGCAAAACCAGGTCTTCTTGCACATTAGGTGCCTTGCCCTGTTCAGATCAATAAATCGTTCATGTTTCATTACCCTAGGGTTGTTAAAAAATACATGGCTGGATGTCTTATGCTTTTGAAAAGGAATAATAGCATATTTAAAGCCATAATGTTTTCACATCATCAGAGTGGATGAGAAGACTCATGGGGGCATGGTTCTCTGGCTACCTACCCCAGGACAGTAATGTCCTTCCCAACATGAAGCAAGCCTCATGTTTTTCACATGATGTGCTGCATGTTTCAAGCCTCATTCTTAAAATATTTGTGCATCCTGCCAGACAGCATCAGAAAATGTGACATGGCTCCTCATTGAGAGTGCAGGCCTTCAATATTTAAGCCTTTATATAAATAGTGTGATCTCTTCCTTCTGTTGCGCCATTCACCCACAAATGAAACCCTGGCATAATGGATGAGCTTTAGCAGTCCAGAGGCTGAAACTGATTTTCCACTGAAACTGTTTTGCAGGAAATGAGGGCAAGCAAGCTTTTCCTATGCTGTACTATTCTAGACAGAGTCATTTCTGCTTTGGAAATGGACTTAAGAAGAAAGCTAGTCCTGACTCTGTCTGATAGCAGAATTCATTCTCTCGCAGGACATTGTTTGACAAAGGAAGAAAAACAAAAACAGATCAGTGCTGCCCGCTGGGTAGCATGGGGCATAATAACAAACCGATTTCCTGCTTACAGTCTGTGTGGGTCCTAATGCCCCAGTTAAGTGATGGGGAACTATACTGTAAAAAGGTGCCATCCATCGGATGAAAAGTAAAACCAAGGTCCTGACTCTGTGATCATTAAAAATCCCATGGTGTTTCTTGAAAAGAGTAGGGTGTCAATCACCCAGGTCTCCTGGCCAAGTTTCCCACTGCCCTTTACCAGTCATGGTCTCCTAATCTCCATCTGTGAATCGGCTTCATTAATCTTTCTTCTCCCAACTGATACCTGGTGTGTGGTAAGTGTACTGGCGCATCATCCAGGGGGGGCTGCACACTGGTGGTGGTGGAGGAGAGTTCCCATTACCTGTAAAGCTCTTTGAGTGGAATGTCCAGAAAAGCTATATAAGTGTAAGGAATGAATTTTGTTATTAATTAGTAACGCGTGCTGTATCTCTCCCCTACCCACAGGAGGCGCTGGAGGCCTGCCAGACCCGGATCTCCAAGATGGAGCTGCAGCAGCAGCAACAGCAGGTGGTGCAGCTAGAGGGGCTGGAGAACGCCACCGCGCGGACCCTGCTGGGCAAGCTGATCAACGTGCTGCTGGCCGTCATGGCCGTGCTGCTGGTCTTCGTCTCCACCGTGGCCAACTGCGTGCTGCCCCTCATGAAGACGCGCAACCGGACGTTTAGCACTTTCTTCCTAATGGTTTTCCTTGCCTTCCTGTGGAAAAACTGGGACGCCATAGCAGGATACCTAGATCGTTTCCTCCAGCCCCCTGACATGACTGCCGGAAGTAATGTGGGGCAAAAGACATAATGGAGAAATGAAAAAGATAACACCTCCGGGAAAGAAAACGACATTTAGCACAAAAAAGGAGGTGGAAAACTAAAGGATGGCAAAATCCTTTTTTTTTTTTCAAGGAACAGAGTGAATTTGTTTACATTTTGGATTTTTTTTTTCCCTTGCAAGAAGCATTGCAATACTGTTGTTTTGTTTTTTTGTTATTTTTAGAATTTAATCAAGTTCTATCGTTTTTGTTTTTTACTATAATAATTCTTATTTTTGTTAAATTACATGTAGCATTAAGATCCTTTTTACACAAACCTGAAAGGATTGCACAAGGAAGAAGCAGCCTGTCTGGAATCAGGGGGGTTCTGTTCGGATGTGCAGCTCGGGTCATGAGCTCTTTCAGACGATTGCTTTAAAAGAACCATTTCCGAGAAATGAAGTGTGCGGCCCCGGGAGTCCATGGGATCAGCCCATTACTGTGAAACGTGAGCACATTCCACGGATGAAAAGGCGATGGATTCAGGGTTTTTGCTGCGAATGAAATAGGAGGTGGGGACAGAGGGGAGTGGCAACCTCGATGCGTCTGCCAAAGTTTTAAAAATGGATTAAAACTTGGCCTAACACCAACCACATTGTACCATAACCGAGATGCTCTCATTTTTTTTTTTTACAAAAGTATTGTGAAGTACCGATGTTTTTCACTAAGAAACCCCATTCATTTCCATTTGTTCCCCATGCAAAAAAAAAAGAAATTAACATACTTGAAGAGTGTAATGCTCAAAGACTCTCAGTGCTTCCGTACTGTTTCTATTAGCGATAAAAGTAATTTTTATTTTTTTTTATTTTTGAAATAAAGAAGCTGTTTTAAATTAAGCAATGAGTGAATAATTTATAGCGTGAACCATCTCAGTAGGGGGGTGGGGAGGGGGAGGAGAACTTCCAAATCCTGTTTACTGCGTCGCCATCAGAAAGTGGCCTTGCATACACATTCTTTCTGATACCTTGACCTTGAGAAATGGCAGGAAGAGGTGTAAACCGTTACCGACGTGGGACAGAACTTACTGGCCAAAGTCAGCTAGTGTTCGAATCAACCTTGGCTGTGAATAATTGTCTTCTGTGTCGTAACACGAGTGTTTCTGCTTTATTGTCATAGCTTTTAGACTATGAAAAAATTGTTACACTGGTTACATGTATAGGAACTTATTTTCTGCAATCAGAAGGACCAGATATCCTACAAACAACTAAGTAAGGGATCTTTGCTGACCCAGATCGACGCTGTATGTAGTTTGAAAGAAATTGAAATTCCACATTGGGGAAGATTCTTTAATTCATTATTCCTGCTCCTGAGGTACTATTTACAGTAATGGGCGGGGAGTTAGTTTGCACTGGTTTAACTTGTTTCTTCCATGAAAGGAGTATAAAACAAAAGCTCATTCATCCTGATTTGGCTTCTACTCTGATTGCCAGTGGCAGCAGTGGAAGTCAAGCTTAGTGTGTGATGTAGGTCACATTCACTGAAATTATAAAATGAAGGAGGATAATATATTCAATTCATAAGTCATTCAGACTGTACGAAGTAATCAATGCTGTTGCTAAAACATGTTTGTCTCCTTCAAGTCTAGGCCATAGACTTGAAACATTGAAACATAAAGCTATATGGTTCACAGTTTTGTGCCAGCATTATGCAGGCATTTCAAGTTTTTTTCCATACTTATTACTGTCAACTTTATTAAAATTAGACCTCAATCCCAGAGCAGCTTTGCATTTCACCTGTGAACTAAGATTGTGAAATAAGACTGGTAAATAGGTTAATATACACATTTTATGATAAACCAACTACTGTAAAGAATGTGTTTTGCATCAAGATGTCCTTCCTGATATTTATAATGATGTGTTAACTACCATATAAATGTCTTTTTTTTAACGTAATCTGAAATTGGTACACCCGAATTGAAGAGGTGGAGGTTTATTTATGTAAATTACCACATTTTACAGTTTTTTGCTTTATTAATCTGAAAACTCACAATGACTATTGCAAAGGCAAAATGTGGTAAAGGGTTCTGCCGATGAAATGGAGATGTGTCAGTCCAACAGACAGAGAACTACCTGATGACTTAAAGCAGTGTTGATTTGAAGAGTGAACTGATATTCACTCAGATGAGTTAGCAATCTGAAGACAATACAGTGACAGTTTTTCCTAGAGGGAACTTTTTGTGCGTCAAGAGTTATAAACCACAGCCCCACTTGTGCTTTTAGCTTAGAATTTTTTTTATGTCTTCCTGATGCTTTGATTTGCCCTCACATTTCTGCATGCTGTAGGGTGATGTGACATGGGAGAGGAGTATGGTCCTGCAAGATGTTGGGATGCCAACAACAGTACAAATTTAATGGCAAGACTCCCTCCTACACCATGCATCTGATTTCTTCAGTTCCTCCTTCTCTTTCTGAAAGTCTCATGGCCTATCAAGGAGAACTAAATGGCATAAGATCACTGGAGCACAATGCCATACACATGGAGCTCTTGAATAGAAAATAGCTGATTGCTTTTCCTGCTTTTGCATTGTTGTATGCATAGAGTTTGGGATGTCAAGGTATCTGGGAAACTGATAATCAAGAATTCCATATTTTACTGGATATCTCCACCCATTTGCTGTAACTACGTTTGCTTGGAGGACCTCGACAGACCATAACAGGTCAAGCACATGGCAGGACTACCGTCCTTGACAGGCCACAGATTCGCACACATATGCTTGCAAGGGGGGAGCAATTTTATAGACGACAATTTAAAGACAACCTAGATGGCATGTCTTTGGACTATGGGAGAATACTTGAACATGAGGAGATCATACGGCCTCCTTACAGACTGGGCCAGATTTGAACCAAGCACCCTGGAGATACTGAGTGACTGCACTACCCACTGTTTTTATCCTTAATATACAGTAACACCCTTTGTGCCAAAAACCTCTTAAAAACCAGCACGTATGAGCTTTTTGTATAAACTATTTTTGGCTGGAAAGATATAGAAAAGAATTGGAATTGGAGTACGGAGCTAAATATGGTAGATTTTTTTTTATTATTTATCCCTCTGAGATAGCACACTGTTGGCATTGTTCACGTATTAAGCAATTAAAAGCCTTGACTTGAATACTCAGTTGTGGCTTTCCATTTTATTATAGTTTCACGATCAATCCCAAGTTTTATAAGTAATCAGCAATAATGTCATGAATGTTTAATGGGTGGGTGCGTCTTGTGCTCCTTGCCTGTCTGGCTTTTATGCTGGCCATTCAGCTGGTTGAAAAGAGAGTCACAGTTTCTGTGTAATGTGAGCTACTGAGCTCTCCAGCTGCGGCGCGCGTCAGATTGGAGATGGTTAATAATTGTATTAACCTTGTCCTGTAGGTGGGCTTCTGGTTTGAGAGGGGCCATCTTTCAGATCTTCAGCTGTGAGGCTTTAGATCGCAGGGAATTGAAAGTCCCGTACAGTCATGCTATGCAAAATCTCTTTCCGATTTCTTCAAAGGTGCACTAACTGGAAGTCATGCACAACTTATCTGATACGAGTTGGAAGTGTGTTCAACAAGGTCTCACTGTTCAGACTGAATGACAAATCTTTCTTTTTTTCTTTTCGTGTTGCATGTTGCAAAGGTCCTTTCTGATGGCTGGTGTAAACAGGCAGTCTATAGATGGCAGTGACTGGTGTGGAAGGCTATTGATGGTTCTAGGGGAAAAGGTCCAGTCAAAAGAACTCCAGTGCCTTTTGTTATGCCTCTCTTTTATAATTGTTTGAATAAAGTTGAGCATTCCCAACTTAACTGTTGAGACAGTATCTTTTTTAACAAAAATAATTTATTATTGGTAAAACATAAAATGTTAGTTTACCCCTTACAATGGCGTACATATGCTGTAGTTACTGGTGTTTATTTTTTCTTTCTGAATTCATGGGTATGAACAGCATTTTCTAAGGCAGTTTCAGCAATAACCAGGTAGAATTAACAGTCTGTATATGGCTCAAAACAACTGACCTATTTAATGACTGACCTAAGTCATGCTTTTTAAATGCCATTAAATGATTTTGTATGTGCAGAATTTAAAGACAGAAAGCTAAGCTGATTTTTGTAAAAACCTTACAGTCTTAAAGACACAAACAATACTATCTGCAGCATATTGACCGAACCAAAACAAAATTAAAACTAAAAAACAATAAAGAATCAAGGACAAAATGTCACAATTGTTTATGATTCTGTGCATATTCTTAAAATTATTGTTTAACTGTTAATTGTTTTAAAACAATTAATTGTTTAACTTTGCTACTTTTTCCTGAAATGTTACTATTGTCTGTAACTAAGATTTTTGTTCCCGGGTTCTTTTGAGGAAAGAAAAGGCATTTTCTAAGCATGCTGATGATTTCCGTTAACCTGCTGGAACTACAATTTTGTTTAAAAAAAGGTATTGATCTCAGATCTCCCTTGAACTGAGATCAATCTGTAAAGTCTAGTTAAGACCTTCTGATTTTGTGTATAAAAAGGTACTCTTACAAAGCCCTGCTGTTGAATTCTGAGTATTTTCACAAAAAGAAATCAGTAAATTATTTTCAATAACCCCGTGACTAGTCTTTAATTAAATATTGTCCTGTCTGAATTTCCATATCCTAAGCACCGTTAATATTAACATAGCACATTTAATTGTTTAAATGATATTGAAATTTCCTTGGGAGTTAGTTCTGCACCATTACTGTGTTCTGACATATAACACAAGAAGGGTACTTGTGAGTTTGCACTCCAATTTAGAGAGATGTTTCAAAGGTTCACTCTGAATACAGTGCTTAACATGCTTGTTTCAGTTACCAAAAACAAAGCATGACTTCGCACAATAATGAGGATAATGTTCTGTTTTGTAGTTTATTAAAACTTTCTTACAAGCTGTAAACATTTGATCGGGTTTTTTATTTGATAGAGTTCCCCTATTCGGAAAATCGATTTGATATTTAAGTCTGGTATTTAGAAACCCTGGAAAATGAATAACAATTAAAAAAAAACTCAACAGAGATTGAGCTAAATATGGTATACGTCTTGTGTTGAAAGAATGTTGTAAGAAGAAGCGAGCACTTATAAATCTCCTGTTTGAGATTTTTGTGTGTGGTATTTTTCCTTCCATAAAGGGGTCCCTTCGTCGGTTAGTTCTG